TTCTTTGTCTTTCACTACTGAATATGTCCATCACACACCAATAGATGGAAACAAATTTACTAACCAAAGATGCCAGCAGGTTTACATGGTAACGAATGCCTCCCTCTTGTTCGACTTTCTTCATGTGGATTCTTTCAGGGTCACCAGCAACCAGTACCTGGTCTTCACCTTCTGCCTGGAATATCAAAAACAGGATCAAGAGTCAGTACGTTGTTATAAAGAGGATGCATGATGGTGGTGATGATGATGATAATGATGATGGTGATGATGATGATGGATGATGGTGATGATGATGATGGTGATGATGATGATGGTGCATGATGATGGTGATGATAATGATGATGATGGTGGTGATGATGATGATGGATGATGGTGATGATGATGGATGATGGTGATACATAGTGATGGATGATGATGCATAATAATGAGAGATGATGATGATAATGATGAATGATGGTGATGTTACAATATGGCGATGATGATGATGATGGATGATAGATGATGATGATGACGATGATGATGCATGGTGATGGAGATGCTAATAGTGATGATAATGAAGATGCTGATAGTGATAATAATGCTAAAGAAGACGGTGGTGATGATGATGATAATGATGGATGATGGTGAAGATGATGGTGATGATACAAGATGGTGATGATGATGGATAATAGATGATGTAAAAGATGGTGATGATGATAATGATAATGAAGACTTACTGGTTTCATCCTTCTGCAGTGATCAATAAGACCCTGCATCCTGTCTTCAAAACCAGTCTCAAACATGGCAGGATTGATAGCAGCAAAACACTGGSCCTAGATAACAGATAACCACACAAATAAAGTCTTTCACCATCATACGGTTAGCTCGGCGTTCTGGCAAAGCATCGGCTTGACAGACCAATTCGTAATGATCAATTAAGTTCATATAGTCGTATTCTCTATAAATACAGTTCTTCCTTCATAAAGTGGAMCCCTTAAAATGGACATCCTCTATAAAAGGAAATATAATTTTACGGCCTCGAAATCTTCTTTTAATATTCACTGTGAGACAAACCTCTATAGAGACTTTGCACCATCACGTGATGGCAGCCATGACAGGAGGCAGGAACAATTGAATCTGGTCTGATCTGATTTACATGAGAAAGAATTGAGGGGAAAAAGGGAAAAGGACTCTATTGTTGTGCTTCCTGTCGTGGCTGCCATCACGTGATGGTGCAAGGCCTCGATACAGCGGGCATTCTTTATTAAGCCGACACGAAGCAAGGTCCCGAAATTGTTCGCCTATAAATAGATATACTACTAAAGATGGGCGTAACATTTTTGGTCGACTGTAATTTAATCGCCCACCAGAAATCTATCGTACAATCCAAAAAACAGTGACAAAAACCTATTGTCAAGATGGTTGGCACATCGCAATGTCTATAAACATAACATCTACCCATAGTGTTTGTTAGCTACACACCAAGTTAGCGATTCTGTCATCACCCTTCCAGCGACGAATATCAGGACCAATAGCACTACCAGCCAACACGCCTGACAGTACTTCTACCATCATGGCCAAACCATATCCCTTGTATCCACCTGAAACAAAGACAATGATCAAGGGAAGTGTAGCAGTAGAGCAGTTTCCGTATGACTGTGAGAAGGTTGGTGCCGTATGCGTGAAGTGCCGTGACCGTGATGTTTTCTAGCATTTTGATTGGCTGATTTCTTTTCTCGCGCAATTCGATTGGTCTGGCAGTGCCGTGACATTGGCGTGACCGTGTCCGCRCCGTGTTCGTGCCGTGTTCCGGGTATATGATTGGATGAGGAGTAAATTCTCGTGCAATGTGATTGGTCTGGCGTATCCCTTGCCGTGTCACGACCGCGCTTGTGCCGTGAGCTTTTCACAGTCATACCAAAATTACTCTAGTACACTCGCCTTTCACCTCTCAGGTCTTGGGTTGACCCATGAACACAGAGGGYAGAGGGGAAGCACTTATCTTTTATTGTTATATTATTTACCGCTGTACATAATATGAGTAAGCTTGAGCCCGTCAATGCGCGCGCAGTGCCTTAGACCTAACGGTAGCTTGACGGCCACGAGAGAATGAAAAATAAGCGCGCTGTGCCTTAGACCTAACGTTTCTAGTTGCTTGGCGTGATATGATTGAGAAAGGGGAGAAAATACAGCCACGTGATGTTTTGAAAACGTGAATATCTCATTTGGGTTTTGCTTTTTCACGATGAATTGCAGACATGCCCTTACTTAGATCAGCCCCGCAGAGGTTATTTCAAGGCAGAATATAACTACCTCTTTAGATTTTACAGTTTCAATTATTTCCAACTTCAAAACTTTACTCAGTCCAACCCCGTAAGATACACCAATAGAAAACGCGCGCGCGTGCTGTGTGCAGTTATAAAGCACGCGGGGATTGGCAGAACACGAGAGAAGTGTTAGGAGTGCTTCTCGACACATCTCGAGTGTTCTGCCAATCTCCAAGTGCTTTATAACTCCACACAGCACAGCAAGCAAGTTTTTTTATTTCTTTTATAAAATGCAAAGGTCGCGTGCGTGCTGTGTGCTCTCATAAAGCACGCGCTCCCTACCAATYAGAATGCGAGATTTAGAACTGAAGAAATAGAAAACGCTATAGTTAATAGAGTATCATCAATGTTGTTTATCTTACTTGTTAGCTCTGTGCCACCCAGAGGCAACTGTCCACCTCCTCGGTCAAGTACGTCAAGAGGATCTAACGTTTCCTGAACAAATATCAAAATATTATATAACAATGACTACCGCAATTCTCATTCTCATTGTTTTAAATCTTAGTCGTTGTGGTTTCTAGTTTGTTTTACCTGTCCATCCACACACGCATATCTTCCCTTCCATTCCTTCCTTCCTTCCTCCAATATTCCTCCCACTATTCTTTTAGGGACTGCTTTTTTTACGTGAATGGGTGTGGGTGGGGGATCAGATGGGGGGGGGGGGCACATAAAAATATGGCATTTAAGGGGGGCCATCCTAAAAATAATTAGGTGGTGCCGTTAACAATGGATGCTAATGAGAAACCTTCTGTTAAATGACACCAACATGGCCGCGAGGACGTAACGTGCAACAGCAAGGAAGACCCCAGTTATTATAGATGCATGCAAATGAGATGCAAATGAGACAAAAAGCATTGTATCGACCCAATAGCCTCTCTTGTATGATTCTTAAAACAAAAGAATTTATATGCCGGCTCAACTGTAATRACAACTATTGAATAATAGTGGTCCACGTTAAAAAAAATCAGATTGGGAAGGGGTTATACTATCTTTTACTTACAATTCACAAAATCCCACCAGAATTCCACCAGCACCCCCCCCCCCCCCCCCCCCCATGCAAGTACAAAATAAACGGCCCCTTATTTCCTCTATCTGTTCGGCTTTGTCTTGTCATACATTTATTCATTCATAACGTACCAAACCCTTATTATCTACACCCCATCCACGTGGTATTGGTTCATTCTTGCGCTTGTTCATCTCAATCTGAAATAAAAATATTAAGAAAATTAGAATCAGTGCTAAGAAATAAGTGCTAAAATACACCGTTATGAATGTTGCAAACAAATCAATAGCCTTTTCAATACACCAGTTTCACATTCGATGCCTACCGTTGTTTTTGAATACTACAGACTCATTTACGCAGCCTTGACTTCATTTATGAGTCAGCTATTCACAGATACCATTAAAAGTCTGTGGGATTTCAAAACATTGRTATTGTTCGAGCTGCACACTCTTTACATTACAGTTGACATTTGCAAATGATTTACTCTWAAGYGAGGCTAAGCCTGCGGAGATGAGTCTTCAGTCTTAARACACAGTGGTATTTASSRAATRRRAAAAGGGACTATTCATAAATCCCATTTTTTTATTCATTCATTTTTCCATATGTTGCTACAGTTTGTTTGTTTTGTCTTATAATATCTAGCGGTACATTAATTTTACTTATTTCAAAATCTATTTGTTCATTCTTTTAGCCAAATTAAACAATCTCAGTAGGACATGACTACCTCTAGACATAAAAAAGCATTTTAAGAACTGTTTGTTATTTATGGTCAAGGGGGGACTGGTGTTCAAAGRGGGGGATACATGAATATAAGTCAATTTCAATGACCTCAATTGATACCTTCGAGATGCCTGTATTTTAACTTACGTCAAATGAATGACAAACGTACTTAATAGACGCCATAGTATTATAGTAAAATATCGGAATAAATGTCCAAAGAAATTTTGTCATGTTTGGAGTTGTCTAGGTCAAAGAAGCACCTAAAGTTAATTTAAAGAAACATACCTTTCCAAGAGCTACAGCGGATGTTGCCATGTCTAGGACAAAACTATCCCCACTCCTCCCTGGTGCAGACACAGATATTGGATTTGTTCCTAGAGTAACCTGAAAATGTTCCAAGACCTGATATAAATAATCATGATGATAAAGTGCTGCATTATATTTGTACTTTATAGTGATGGCAATAAGTGCCCAGTGATTTCCCTTTGCARTACAGTAAAAACCYRCATAAAAGAACAAGTGGGTTAAGAACACCCAGCCTGAATTTGGGCATTTTAAGTACCATGTAAATTAGAACACAATCGGCCTGAAATATTAAAAGGTGTTCTTAAAAAATAAAAATCACTATTAAATGCCTCCTCATCAGTACTCATGTATACACTGATGGGGGAGAGTTTAGATTACAGTGTTACCAGTAGCAGACTCCAAGCCTGACCTGACAATATTTATTTTTCTACTGTTTTGACACAGTTATTATAGCAGTCAAGATTTTTT